AATACAATTTATTGCAAGACTGGAAAACTTGTCTGGATTATTAAGAGTAACAATAAGGTCTACTTTTAATAGAATATCCCTTGACCCAGTTTAGCTCCCTTACTGAGCTCATCGTGTTGCCCCAGAAAACAGTTATACCAGCACAACTGTCTAAGTGGAAAGTGATTTTCTTTCTCAGAAGACGTGCACAGTGCTAAGCTAGTCAGTCTTTGCTAAATGAAGTAGTTCTTTTCTACCCTTCCCTGCTGCTGACTGCATAGTCCCTGCTCCCTCTTTTGATCATCTCAACACTTGATCAGTTCCAATGCTCATCTGACTCCTTAGAGTGCCAATTCAGTTTGCTAATCCATTGGAAAATAAGCCAGCCAGTGGAGGGAGGGAAATAATTTTTGCTTTTGACAGCAGTGGGCTGTTAGGCTCAGTCATTACTGTGAATCTTCACCTGGAAGCACAGATTACTTAATCTGACATTGCTGCCAACATTGATTCCCATCCAACAGGGACTTTGTGCAATCTTCATTTCTTAGCACTTCTGTAATGTCGGGATTGTGTGACCATTGTCTGTGAGGCAGAAATCCTGAGCAGTATATAAAAATCAGGTTAAGCTGTTATTCCGTTGTGGAGATATTAATGATGGGAGAATGAACCATCACACCTTTGGAAGGAAAATGAGGAGAACTGTTGCGGCATTCCTGCATTCCCCTCATCCTACGTGGCTTTACTCCAGGATTCCTTTTCTTACTCGACCTGAGCTTAAAAATATTAGCATTTCAATGTCCCCAGATAAGTGTTGATTTCAACACCTTGTTGACAGAAACAAGGGAGAAGAGAAGAAACAGTAATGGTGGTTTTGGTTTGGCAACCACTTTTGTGAAATGTGATTAAAAAGAGACATTTGTGCAGTGGATTTATGTTTCCAAATATTCTTCAGAGTATCAAGGGGCAGACAAAATACATCCATTCATCTTTTTTAAATTCCATATGAAAGTGGGTTTTGTTTTGTTTGGTTTTTTTGGAGGAAACGGCAAAAAATAGGAGGAAAGCTTAAAATCTCTGCTTCTGCAACTTTTCCAGAATGTTTTTGTCTCGAGTTGCGGTGGCTGTGAGTTGTTGTGGCTGTGAGAAGTTGCAGTGCTGCTGCACTCCTTCACACTTATTTTGCAGGTTTCATCCAAATAATCCATTTTAACCCCCGGCCACAGCAATTCCCAGCCTTTGTTTATGTGATAGCCACACCTAATACAGACAGAATCCACAAATGAACTCCTTTGTGTTTGTCTTCTTGTGATTCTTAAATACTGCCTCTTACCCAGGACAGGGGCTCCTTTGCCTGAAAAGCAGTAACCGAATATGGATTTAATGTTGTTAACAGGTCCATTATCCACTTAGTTTTTGTTCTGTCCAGGAGGAAGATCTCGTGCAATTTCTACCTTTGCTAGTAGTGGTCCTCACAAGGAACACAACTGTATGGAAAACTTTTATCCTCAGTGGTATTGTTCTGCCTCTCTGCATGTATTCAAACAGTGCAGGTTCAGATGCTTGGTTGCAGCTAACTCCAGTGAGTGTGTTCTGACTACAGAATTTTTAGCAGTTTCTCCCAGTGCAGACCAGCCTTTATTGTACAGCATGTGTTACCCCAGCTGTCAGTAAGATTTGGGATATCTTTCATCATTGTAGGTGTTGGGGTTTTTTTGTTTGTTTGTTTTATTTTGTTTTGTTTTGCATGTGAACAGGTAGATGTTGATCCAGACAGGCCCTTGCTAAGCTGGTCTCAGCTGGAAGCCGTTTTTGACATAATGTAACCCGCAGTGCAGTGTGAGTAAGATCTGTATGGCTTGGGGATGTCCAAAGGGAGCTGCTGTTCCTTGGGGTTCAGCCAGAAATGTATCACAGAATTCCTCTGAGGCCAAACAGGGAGGTATTACTATAGCACAATGTCTAATCCAGTAATTTGTCGTTAATGTTTATTGTGCATTATGTTGGCATTTGTTTTGTTACTTCTCCCCATATTAAAATTGCTGTCTGCTTTTATGGCTTTCACCACTTCACAAATGCTAGTTAATTTGCCCTCATAATGTTTATGTTTGACTATGGTTTTATTCACATCTGTGCAAGTGCAATTAAGACACAGCTTCTGAAAAATGATAAATGTAGGCATGAAGTTCATTGCAGTCTTTTTCTAGATCACCAAGATTGTCAGCATTATTGACCATGCCTATGATAAGTTACCCAGGGAGTATTTTGCAGAACTGGCTGGGTGCTGCTGGGAGGAGTAGCAGTTGTGTATGTACAGGAAGATGAAATCTCATGGAGGTGGTAGGCTGTGCTTGTTCCTTTCTAGATCGCCTTGCTGGAAGAGTTGGCTTGATTGCCACTTGAGCATTAGCTTCAAGTGTGGTCTGTGGGTGACCATGAGCAGAGCTCCTTATAATAAGAGTTCTTCTATTGTAGGCCTTTAGTTTAATGATGGGATGAAAATAGCGTGACCTCCACTAGTTTTGTGGTGAAATAACAGCATCTGTAACCATCCTGTTCAATATTACTACAGCATTTAATGTTTCTGATTGCTGCTCCTGTCACATGCACAAGGAACAGAGATTGATAGAAATTGTTCACTGTAATATGATTATTTTTCCTCTCAAGTCAAAACGTACCTCATGTTGCTTCATCAGAAGAGACCTATATAATTAAATTTTCTCCGTATTTTCCTTTCATATTGTATATCTTCTCACCTCAAGTTAACTAATTGCCAGTTGACTCCAGGTGGGGAAGGATTCTGCAAATGCTAAGAAAGACAATGTCTAAATGTTTTTGTTCTAGAATTAAGATATTTATTCTTTAATCTCTGAATTTAGTCATGGAGAAAATGCACCTGATTATAGCCTGTTGTGAACAATCTCTGGCAAAATTGTGCCTGCCTTTTGAAGTTCTACCAGTATACAAACACCACTCTTTTTTCTCTTTGATGTCACAAAGACACAGAGCCAGTTTTGAATTTCCTTGCCACTTACCTTAGAAGGATGCGATGAAATTTTGTTGGCATGTGCTGCATGAGGTTGCTTAGATGCATGCACACTTGGGAGCTGAGAGAACACATTTGGGATGTTGTTCTTGTTATGGTTTAGCACAGTCTCCTGCAGCAAGGAAGCACTCCCTTGGCAGAAGCACAGGAAGGACATTCTGCTCAATTTGGGCTCTCTTATTACATGTAATACTTAGAGCTTTTATGTTACTAAAGCATATTGAGGGGGAACTTACTCCCCTTCTCACAAATGCATGATTCTCATGTTTCTTGTTCACCATCATTAGTACTGGCTACACAGATATCTGGGGCATGAGAAAACAAAAAAAAAGCCATGAAACCCAGTAACAAAATCCTGTCATTTTTCTAATTTGAGCTAGAATAGCTCATTCAGTGCCAGAATACATGGTAACCACTTGAGCTCACAGCTAGCAATGAACTGATTCCAAGCTGCTGTACCTGTGATGCTGTATTTTTCTTTTCTCCATCCACAAAGCTGCCCTCCCTGAGGGCTCTTCTTCCTGAAAAGATGCTACATACGTATGTGCAGCCTAGATAGAAAGCACAGCATTGCTTATGCTCAAAGAGAATGGAAAATACAAGGTAGGAGGAGGTTCTGTACAGAAAGAAAATAATCTGTTCAAGTTCTGGGAAAGCAAATGGAATCAACAGTTGCAGATAACTGAAGTCTTTGAACAATTGTGGACCGAATGGCAAACACGAAGGGGAAGAGCTGGGAAGAAGGTGACAGGGAAGAAGCAGGGATCTCCTTGATCTCCTGTGGGACACTGGTCTGCCCAGAAGCTGCATCTAAATGCATGAAAGAAACCTGTGAAACAGATTTGGGAAACAAAGAAATAGGCAAAGTGTGAGACTGATTTATTTTAATTGGTTTAAGTGATGTTTTAGAAGTTAGTTACTTGTGTTGGATGCCATTTTTACCATTGGTTATCTCTTCAGTTTGTTTAGTAGCATTATCAGCAGTTCTGGAGGCAGTTAATAGCAGGAGGTTGACTTGCAAACTGTTATTAGTGGATTAGAGCTGACCGAGGAAGGAATTTTCCTGCTCTACTCTCCGGTGCAGCTTTAGGCACCCCAATATAACAACGCTTTCATCGTAGGGGTTGGAATTGTGGATGGTGCTGTGTGGAGCCAGGAGTTGGACATGGAGGTCCTTGTGAGTCCCTTCCAACTTTGGATATTCTGATTCTATGAATCAAATGTACTTTTTCTCCCTTCCTGTATGGCCTCCGGTTTCCCAAATGCAGTAATATATTGACTTCTTGTTCACTGATTTTGCATAACACTGTATCAGAAAAACCAGGAGATGTCTAAATAAAAGAAGCCTTTTAACTGAGGTACATGAAGCCTTGCTACAACTAGGAACAAATTGTTTTGAAGCTCCTAGGAAAGTGACCACACCATGCTGAGGGCTGGCAGCGCAAGTGAACATCCTCATATCTGAAACAATAAATCATATTTTTGTATGGATCGTTGCCTTTTCCAAGTGGGTTGATCCAGTACCTCAGGTCTCCATGTGTCCTTTTCAACTCAGGCCATTCTATGATTCTATGCCCATCAATTTGTGAATGAAAAAGAGTGAGTTGACACACACTGTGGGAATAAGACTACTACACAAGCCAAGTGTTGTGGAGGTAGTGCAGGTGGTTTTGAACTGCTGTATGAATGCAACTTAATAATTTAAAAGCCATTTTAGAGAAATGTTTAATGTTTTATTGTTTTCTTTTGCTTTTTTATTAGCAGGAACGTTCTGAACAAATATTTAAAATTAATTTTGAATGTAGCTTCCTTTAGCAGGTACCAGATCCATTTTTGTTCACAGCAAATTGTAATTTATTGCCTTCTACTGTATCTTTTGAATTTTATGAATTAAGTGTGTGTGTGTACATATGCATAGATAAATAGTATGTGGGTGTTTTAAAGTGCATCTCCTCACGTGCAAGTTTTAATTTTACAGACGATATCAGAAATTGCAGAAGATAATGAAGCCCTGGTAAGAACCTGATTAGATCATCACCTTGCACACTTCCTCTTCTTTTGCATGAGTGAGTTCAGGCCCTTGCGCTAATCTTTGTATGTAAATACATCTGTGCTTATTCATTCAGCCAATCTTCAACCTCTGTTTTCTCTTCTTTGATACTTATCTGATGCGGCCTTTTTTGCTTTGCTTATGGAATGGGTGCTTTAATTCTGTAACTTCTGCAAGGACCTACCCAATTTCCTAACTAAGGGGCTTTTTTTTTATTATTATTTTATTATTCGAGCAATCGTTTCCCTGCCTTCTCCATGTTCCCCTTTTAAATTTGTCTGACTTACGTGATCAATATTAGACAATTCTAACTGTTTATATTAGTGAGATAAGGGTCACTGTGCCATTTTGGATTCCAGTTATTTTCTGGTCCCAGTTAGTTTTATTTATTACAGGTAACTGCATAAAGAGAAACTGCAATATTCTGAAGGGTTTCTTATTAGGAACTTCTAGGGCATGTTTGTTTGAATTCTTCTATATGCTTCAAGTTAAGCACACACTTCATAGGCTTTAATAAATTGGGATCCTGAGGGATGTTCTTTAGTGCACTGATTGGCTTGCAAGTTCATCACATCAAGTATAGCTGAAACCCAAGCAAGCAAAAGAGTAATTAATCAATTAAGTGTGCATCTGTCACTCTGATGTGGCTTATCATGCAGCTTCCCATCCAAATCCATGCTGAATCGTGCTTTCACAAAGCTGCTGAAACGTTAATGAGTAAATCATTGCCTAATAAATTACACAGTAGCCATAAATTTGGCAAAAACCTTAAATCCTTCCTCTGCATTCTCTTCTTCAACCTGATATGGAATAACATTTTTTAATATAAAAGTTGAGATTCTGAGAAAAATAATTAAAATGCCATGAGGCTTTCAAAATTCTTGGCGGCATCGCTCCTGCTGGGATGCCTCCTGTGCATTTTGATGCTGGTTTTTTTCCCTCGTTGATGTGAAAGTAGGGTGGTTTTTTTGTGTGTGAGCAGCAGTTATACTCCATCAGCACCATTCTGTTCCCAAATTCTATTGTCTTATAAAATTTTTTACACTCAATAATATGATTGTCCTCTGAACAGCCTCAGGAAAGTTCTGAAGTGCTGACTTACAGTTGCTTTGAGCCCTGGTCTAAGAACTCGATTATGTGATGACCTGAATTAAGCTGTGGGTTTTGTGGCACAATTTAGTCATGTTTACCCATGGGAGCAAGGCCTTACCCTCCTCTGGAGGGTACTTACTGATCATTGTAGTTCAGCACGTCAGTGAACGTGGTAGAAATGAATTCGCGTGTGACAAAAGTTTATTTAACCTTGAATGCCAAATGGATGAGGTTCAATTTATATCAGGGCACACAATTTAACATTCTGATTTCCTTGAGTAGTAAATGAAACGATACAATTAAAATCACAGTTTTGTGCCTTGTACTAAGATACCAGCCCCACTGGGCAGGCCATGAAATCGGTATCTCTGGAACTTGGTTTATTCATAACCTTTGAAGGTAAAGTGCTGTATGATTGTTGTGAAGCATCCTAAATTCTTTTCACCATGAATTACTGGGAGAAAGATTGATGAAAAAAAAATATATAAAAATGATTTCAGCATGTAATACAACAAACAAAACATAAAAACTTTGCAGCCTCTTGCTGCTGTCTTCATTATTAGTTACTCTAAAGAAGCCAAATGCTAATTGAAAGAAAAAGTTACTTTTGATTTACAGGACGGGATGTTTCATAAGGCCCAAGTATTTCACGTTATCTCTGGCAGCTTGCACATGCTGACCTGGAGAAGATGACTTAATTAAAACCTCACCTCTGTAGAGAGGACACGTTTAATACCTTTTATCCACTGAAGGAAATTCATGTTCTAAAATGTGAGTTTCTTTTCTCTGTCCTTTTAGTCTTACAGATTCCCATTATGTTTCAGGATTTCCTTTATCTCGTGCTGGCTAATGCTCGGTTTAAAAGAAAATTCCCTGTGGAACAGCCATATCAATTGACTACTTAATTGTAGTCAAACCATGCTGTCTGGAGAGCGATGCTTCTGCATAGATCCTTATTCTTAGCCTTTTAAGAATAGTGTATCTTTTTATGGAAATTACCATGAAATGAGCAAAAACATGAGCTTAAAAGATGGGAAAGAAGAGAAAAGGTAACTCTAATCATCTGCCTGAAGAGCCAACGTGTAATAGCTCCTCTGGGCTACCTTTCCATGCTGACAATTGCTTAATGTACCTAAAAGTGGATTAAGTCATATCTCATAATAAGAGTATTTACACCCAAATTTATTCAAGAATAGTTAAGTTCTGTTTAAAATTCAAAGTCTGTTTTTGTAATTGGAGTTAATTCACAACTTAGAGAGGCTGTAATACCAGGGATACAAATACCAGGTTTTTTGGGAGTGCAGTTAGTTTAAAATCAGCAGGGTTGATCCTTTGTAATGGATGTGGTGAAACTGTACCAACAAAAATACTTGAATAGTGTTTGGTGCATTGCAAAAAAATAATCTGTGTCAATTGCAGCATAGCAGTTAAGTGCATTTTCTGTCATCACCTACAAAAACAGGAGCAGCTACCTGCAGGTTGTTCAGTCGATTTATGACATATAGAGTAAGTAAGTGTGAATTGACCCTAGTCTGATGTGGAGGCTTAGCTTTACCTTTGGAAAGGTTATTTAAGAAGCAAGGAAGTGTAGAAGCAATGAAGAAGAGTCATAGCAATGAAAGAGGTTCACACTGTGCTTGCAGAGTATCCTGCTGCATCACTGAGCTTCATTTAGGCTGAGGTTCTTGCCCCCATGTCTTTTCCAGAGCCCTTGTCCTCTTCTGATTTAGGTAGATCCAGATTCCCTCCTCAAATTTATTTATGGCCTTTTATACTTGAAGAGTCTCATTTGCAGGGCTGTTTATACTCTGATGTTGGCCATCCTTGCAGTAAGGCCCTTTCAGCTGCCCATTGTTGGGCTATGAGCACAGTTGCTAAATGACAAGGGATTGGAAGTTAACCACTTCCTTAACCCCTGCAGCTGGCATAGGCTCCAGTCCCCTTCTTGCCTCCTGCCCGGTTAGTGTTTCTCTTTGCTGCCTTTCCTCTGCACAATTAGATTTGACCCAAAAATGGGATGGTAGATGCTGTTCAAAAACATCTAAGGGATTTTGCTGCTCACGTCCCGTTAATTTAATTTGAAAAGAAATTAAAATTGCTGTAGGCATCTTTCAGGATATCAGACATAGTTCTCTCTATATAAATATATCTCTGTGTATTCATATATCTATCTATCTCTATATATATATCTATAAACTGCATAGCACACCTGATTAAAAATACAGTTTTCCTTGTGCACTTGATAGTGATGAAGGCAAGTGATAGACATGGTGGTCAGGGTCACATGCACATTCCTTTTCTTTTTAGGAAAGAAAAATTAAAAATATATGGAATTCCTCAGTTTCAGAAAGTAAGAATGCAGAAGATTCTTAGGAACATAAATCAGCAGGTGCTGCCCTGATCTTTGCCTAAGACACACAGGTAAAATAATTGGAAACACAGCTGCAAATTTGTCCCAGGGCTTGAGGTGCTCAGGCCTTGGATCAGAGTGGTAGGCATCCATGCTAGAATGGCTCACACTGGGTTGGTCGATGGCCTTACAGAACACAGGTGTTTGCTTCTTCTGAGACTTTGGCTGTGAGCTGCTAATTGAGGAGGTGTCTCGTCACCAACTCGCCCATATCTGCAGTGACTGGGGCCACTTAGCAGAAAATGGGAGGCATCATCAGCTGTCCCAGCAGAAGTACACAAGCCAGAGCCCTGGAGAGGGATTGTGCAAGCAGTTTAATGACACAGATCATTAAAATGTCAGTGTTAGTGAGAGATGAAATTGCAATTATACAGTGTGTCTTTCTGATTGCTCTTCCCTCTTGCTACAATGACATGCATTTAAAAGCACCTTCATCAGGAATTACTGTCAAACCATTAGGTCATCTTGCAAGAACAGCAGGAGGTTGATATTTACAGAATAGTTGTGTCTTGTGCTGTGTGCTCTGCTGAAAGATTTTGTGAAGCAAGCCCCAACATTTTTCGGACTTTTTGTATGACTACAATAATTGCTCTCTCAGATTCTGAGTTAAACAGTGCCGCTTATTTTCTGAGATCACTACATTTTATGAACAAGCTTTGATTCCCCTGAAATTTCCTGCATCTATTCAGTCTGCCACTCAATAGTATGAATGTGTCTGCACGTGTGTATTGAATTGGAAGTCTGTTTCTACCTATCTACTTGTGTTTAAATACGTAACAGTGAATCAACACCACTCCCTCCTATTTTATCTTGCTAGTTACCCTGGAGATTATTTTCATGTCTTGCTGTGCTACACCTAATGCTTATCCTTTAAGCCTGGCTTTTAACTTTTGCAATGCTCTTTAGTGTACACGTGTGTGCCTGTGCCTGTGGATAGATAGATATTTTAAAAATTCATGCTATGTGTATGTGGTGGTGCATAATATGTGCTTGATTAGTCCCAGTGTTGCACCTCTTTGCTCTTAATAATTTGAAAAATGTCATAGTGACACCCACTGGGGCAGCCTGCCTTGTTTTAAGTTGGAAAGTACTTTCACTGTCTGGATCCCAGACAATTGTGCCAGTGGTACATCTGCTAAAACCGGGCTTCTATATTAGCATTTTCAGCTCTATTAACCTCGTTTCACATTCAGAGATGTGCAGGGAGATAAATAATTGACAGGATTAATGAAGAGTATTGGTGAGAAGAATAAGTGAGTCTGCTGAATGTAAAGGAATTTAACTAAACTGAATTCCAGTCGCTGCTGTCCTGGAGAAAAAAATACATATATGTGTGTAGGTTTAATACCAAACAATCCCTCTACTCTATACCTGTTGCTAATAGGAGTTTCCTTTCATTTACAGTTAGTTTATAGAAGAATATTGATGTACTAAACACAGGTTAGTTGACAAAATTTGTAAACGATTTATAAGAAAATCCAAGTTAAATGAAGATAAATCTCCCAGTATTAAACTAAGCAAATAATGTATCTCCTTTTAATCTTATACAACACTTTTCCTAATCGATTTTTTTTTTTTTTCATTTAATTTGTACATAATTTAGTCTGGCCTTATAAAATTCTGACATTCCATATAATCATGGAAGTATTCTGGCATGAATATCCATGCAAGCTTTTAAAAAGAAGCTCTTTCCAAAGGATGCATTTTTACTTAGACATTCATAAATAACCATTATATGCAAAAAGAATGGGCTGGGGAGAATGAGAGGACTGGAGCTGATTATATTTCCTACAGAGCAGTATTGTTTTCTTTTTATGAAATCCTTGGTTATTTGGAATGCTAATGATGACATTTTAAGCCTAATTTAATTCTTGAAAGATTTGTAGAATTAAAAGACAAACAGTCAAGTATGACTGAACAAAGTATTCCTTGTAGAATTACAGTGGTTTATTTTTTTTAAAAAGACACTGTTTTTCTTGTTTACTCTTTGATATGACTTTTTCATTTGGTCATAAAGAATCAGACGTGGTAGATGCCCTTACTTTGGAAGGGAAGGTGTGTGATAGTTCCCTCCTAACCCAAAATGTCAAGAATGGCAAGTTTCATTTCAGTGAAGGGTTTTGCAGAGTTTTGATGAACTATCCTAAGGGAAAGGGTCACTAAAGGTTTTTCTTTTGGTGTCAAGAAGCCTTAATGCAGATTATATCAAATCTGTAAAGAATGGCTATTGGAATTGCCACATTTAAATTGCTTTCCTGCTTTATTCCTTTGTCCTGCAGTGAATGCCTTCCCTCTGAGTGAATGTTCACTAATTTGGGTTGGGATGGTACAGGACAGTAGGGGATCAAATCACACAAGGATTACTAATTGCCTTCCTTAACTACAACTATTCGACTACAGACTCAGTTTTCCAACATACTGAGCATTGTAGTTCCAATCTTACAGGTTTTAATTTTGCCTTTTTATTAGGTGAGCTGCTGCGTTAAAGTCAGTGGGGCTATTCATGTTATTTAGCTTGATTGCATGCTTAAGCTTGTAAATGTCTTAGTGACAGAGCACCTTGCAGGCATTTTGGCGTGCCCTTAAAGGTAACACACTGCTGCCTTTAGAGCCCTGTGCACTGCTTTTTCTATTGACTAATTAGCTCATCAAATGGTTTCATTGAAATCTTTGTGGCTGCTGACCGTTGGGTGCCGTGAGTATATATAGAAATGAAGGTGATCTATAAAACTCGATTTTAACAAGGGAAATTAGTGTGCAGCTAGTCAATTTTGAGCATGTTCTTTGTGATGAGTTTAAACCTGTGTGGAAATAGTTAATACAAAGATGCACTGAATCTCAAATTCACAGGTAACTATGCAGTGTAGTGGCTCACAAATTCTAAGCAATGTGAGCTGTGTTCCTGAATGAACAACTGGAAAAAAACAAACATTCTCTCCTGTTAGCTGTAAAATTTTGAATTAGATAAAAGAAGTTCAGTTGGGCTATCTGATTTCCTTGAGCACTGCATGTGGTGTTTTCCTAGGACCTAGCTCTTCTCTCACTCAATTGCTTTCTTTCAGGTGATTATTCTTGATGTCCATGCAAAATTGCTTTGGAGACTATTTGTTGCATGGCCTCTCTTGCTCTTTTGCTGCCTCTTAATCCGTGTTTGGCTTCGTTTTCTTGCCTTTTTGAAAGCTTCCTGCTACTTTATTCCCTCGGTCATTGCCATGCTGCCTAACTGGTAACTGTAGTCACGACTCCTATCTCTTGCAGCTTTGGAGATATGTTGTCCTTTACACTGACTGCATTTGTTGAGCTGATGGATCATGGGATTGTATCGTGGGATACATTCTCTGTGGCATTCATTAAAAAGGTAAATTTGTAATCAATGCTATGTGTTTTGTACAAATTTGCTTCTACACTATTTTTGAGGTGAGTTGTGCTTTCTCTCCTTCAGGTGCATTGTTTAGGTGATTGCTTGGGCAAAAAGGTATATGAAAATGAGATTAACATCTTATTTAAATGTACAAATATTTGGAACTGCAGGATCTAGCCCAAACTTCTAATGAGTTCAGTGCAAGTGAAATTGGATGAACGCTGTGTTAGGCTTATTACATGGGCTGCTGCTTGCTCAGTTTGAGTGTGACCTCCTTGTGCAGATACCAGGCAGCTAAAGCAGAAAATAGTATTTAGATTTAATGTAAATTAAAGTGAGTCAGAATATGTATCTTGAAATAAAAACAGCACTGAAATGTTTCCTTTGAGGATAGGGAAGGAAGAGAAATGAGTTAGTAATAATTTCAATTTGTAAACTGAAATCTCCTGAGTTGATCAAGCTGAACTCCAGCTCCCTGAATCCTGCTACTAAGGTCTAAGGTTTTGAAAAAGATTTTTTCCATGATCTGCAACATTTTTCTTCTTTTCTTGCACGTGGTACATGCACAAGAGCAGCAGAAACAGCAAAGTACTCTTTAAATGCAGAAATGTAACGGACTTTAGAAAGAAAGATTTTGTTATGACTGATCTGTTTTTACTTATTCTCATCCTAAATATTGGCAGATTGGAAGCAAATAAATTGGCTCTTCTGATTACAACAAAACCAAAAACTCTTTCCAAGTTGTTTTTTTTTTTCAAAGCAGGTTGAAGTTGGAATGTATCTTACATTGAAGTGCATTTGTATGAGTCCAAATGATGTCAGAGTCAATTCACTGTAATGATGTCACCTGAGGGAAAGTTATCTTTCCTTTTTAACAAAATGTGTCAGACTCTATGTTTAAATTTGATTGGAAAATTACTTCCACCTAAAGGAAGCCTAAATTTACATTTGTTGTCAGAAGTGAAAGAAATACACAGTTATGAATTATGTGTTTAAAAACCATTTGGATGTGGTGCTCAGGAACGTGATTTAGTGGTGGGTTGTTAGAGTTAGGGTAGTATGGTTCGTTGGGGATGGACTTGATCTTGAAGGTCTTTTCCAATGTGAGCAATTCTATGATTCTATGAAAAGAGAACTAGATTTTTAAGTTCAATTTTGGTCATTAAAATGCTAGGTGTTATTTATGAGAGAGATTAATATTATGTTTTGGACTTCGTTAATCTTGTAGGCTAGGTAGATTAATGATGATGATCTTAACATGGCAAAGAAGGTAGTACACCTGTGTTTTAACTGGCTTTGTGAGACTGAAAGTCCAGCCTAGAATGTGTTATTTGCTGGGGGAGCCTACAAACTCAAATAGGCCATTGAGGTTGCTGATGGGCTAGCTCAAGTGGATGGCAGGATGGATAAGAGTTAATTTTCTGCTAGCTGAATCTCTGCAACCCTGCTTCAAGTGCTTCTGCCCTTTGAAGCTGTCTTTCTTGTCACATGGAAGCCAAACTGGAATGGGAATGCATTAAGTTGAATAACTTTTTTTTTTTTTTTAATATCTTGAATAAATAATTTCCTAACTAGAAATGTAGAAGCTGGAGGAGATCTCTAGGGAACCTCTGAATGCTTCAAATAAGTAACTAGATGATGTTGAAAGAAGTCCTTCTCCCATCCTGTGGGTATGTTAAGACTTCTATTGTAACTACTGCAAATAAGAATTGACACTTTCAAGTAGGGCTTTGTTCCTTATCTTCAGGGAAAATATAATTTGAGAAACTTTCTTACAACAGTATCTCTCAAGGCTCTTTTCTTCCTCATGACAATAAGCTCGTTTAGACTGGAACTCCACAGTACCCTAAAGGATTTGGTTGCCAAGTTCTTAAAATATGTCATAATAATTTGATATCAAAATAAAATACAAAAATTTGGAACTCTTCTCTTTAATTTCTACAAGAGGATAAAGAAAATAAAGGCTTGTAGTGTTTGTTGAGGTGTTCTTAAGAATCTCTTAGAATTACTTGTGCAAGTGCTGTTTTGTAACTGTGTGAGGCAGTCTCAACCTTGATGAATTGCTTACTCTGCCTTCCAAAATGTGCTGTGCAGGAAAAGTGAGTGGCAGTGGGAAAAGTATCTCTGTGTCTCACAGCAGCCAGTTGTTCCTTCTGTAGTGAAGTGCAACTGTGGTTCCTTACCTGAAAATGAGATTTGTGCTTGAAAACTTCACTATGTGTTAGGAGTTTACAGAAACAAAACTGCCTTGGATTTTCCTGTTATTTTTATTTACAGACATCAAAGTGGTCCAGGCATCTCTGAAAATCAAATCTGTTTCCTTCAGTTATTTTTGCCATGGTGGATGTGGCGTTTGTTGTTCGCTTCTTTTTTTGTCTGTTTGGTTTGTTCATTTGTGCTTTTGTCCTTAACTTTTAAATTCTCCTCTCACTTCAGGTGATGCTGAAACAGGAAGAGGGCTCGAAATATGTAGTTTAGCTCTCTCTAGCATTCCTGCCTGCTCTTACTCCATGTGTTTAGGTCCTGTTTCAGAAGAGCACTGAGCTTGAATACGTAAGGACATTCTAATGCTTAATTTCCCTTGAAACTGCACCGTCACTTCTGTTATGTGGGGCTACATAAGACTGTGCAGATAGCAAGGTTACGATTTTATCCTTAGTGACACACATCTGTGTGCCAGGTTTTCATGTGAAAGTGTTTTACAGTTACGTTGCTTGTTCCTGGAGAAAAGGCTCTATTCTTGTGAGCATGCATCATTATTTATCATCAGAAGTTTTGACAAACGAGTGCAGGATTATATTTGGATGTTGAGAGCCCTCCTGGCACATGGTGCTCAGTAAGCAGAGCTCTCCAGAGAACAGCAATTGATACGAATTTGAACTCTGATTCCTTTTTTTCCACACCCAGAACTTCAAATATGGGAATATAAATTCTTATTTTGTGCCCTCTGAAAATTGCATGCCTCATTTATCATGGCAGACTTGCCTGGACATCTTTTCTAGACATATGCCATACATCAGCAAGGTGGTTTTGAGTGTACATAGCTTAGCATGGAAATTACCCAGCAGATGCTTTGCATGTATGTTCTGTGTGAGATGTCACAGCTCTCTGAACACACAGGTCAGCTTCTGTAGTACCTTGAGCTTATGTTTGTTGTAAAAAGACTTTGTGGCCCAGGATCAGAAAAATACATGTGTCTGAAGCAGCCTTTCCTAGGCTGAGGTTTCAGCTATCTGTAATTAGATCAGTGCAGCAGGCCCCTGGTGGGAATATGTTATATTGCAGTGAAGCTTTCACACCAGCACTTGAACTGCTGAGGCAAAGAGGTGCTGCACAAAGAGTGATTCATGTCAGGGCTTCTGAAGAGGGTGACAGTAGTCTGACAACTCGGAACACATTCTGGGTACGTTGTATTCCCGCTACACGGTTGATCCATGTGTGCCTGGTGACTGAGACATCCAGAGTGCATTTCACTTGTGTGGGCAGTGCAGAGCTGATCTGTGCATGCCCAGTGTACGTGCTGTGGGACTTGTGGACATCTGGCAGCCCTGACACGGTGCATCAGAAAACAACTAGATCAGCATTAGCAGAGCTAAGGTAGTACGAGCTGAGATGCAGCTTGTCATCCTAAACAGCACACTGTGCATTATGTACTAATGTAAATAATAATTGTGCTGAGGACTTGCAGACAGCACATATTGAAAGCCCAGAGCAGAAACAGTCTCCTCTCCACCTATTCCCCATGCATGCATGGGTTGGTTTTTTATTTTTTTGTAAATCCAATTTCTGTTTCATGAACGGAGTTGCATTCTGCACAGCATGTTCTTGCTGTGGCAGTGCAAAGCAAGTAGCAGAGCAATAAACGCCAATGCTGTAGAACAGCAGAAAAAGAAATCCAACTCTGTCTTCACAGTCTCCAACCATAGTTATTTTTAAAAAGTGGGAAGGGGAGAAGGCAGGAGTTTGCTGCTTCAGCATTGCACAGAACGTCACGAGGGCACAAGCATTGTTGTGATGTGTCAGTACTGTGAATTTTACAGTTGCCTAGGCAGCTTTTCCAAGCATTTGGCATGCCTTTCTTTCTCCAAAAGGGAAATTACACAAGGGTCTAAGTGAGCTTCCAGTATCAAAACCACATTGGTGTCCTGAAGTGTGACTACTTAAGAAGGGGATGGACTTGAGGTTTTCTGGAAAGAATGAGTTTAATAGGCTGTAGTGACCCCATCTCAAGTCTATTACTTGGCTATGAAGGATAAATAACTGGTCACTGGACTTTTTTTTCTGTTTGTCTGTACTTCCTTGGGTACTTTTTTGCTTGTCTCTGCTGGTATTGGTACATCTGAGGAAAATCCAAGCAGTTCTCTGTTCCTTTGTCAGCAGAAGATGAGAGTCTTTCTTGGAGAAGGCTGTGGAGCAGGCAAAGGAACACATGCTGCCACATGGTTTCTACCAGTGTGCCATTCCTTCATAGCAGCTTTCAGTAAGAGTGACAGAAATGAATGCACAAACAGCAAGACTAGACTAGAGTTACACAATCAATTGTGCCAATAAATGGTAATCAAGTGAGTTTTAATTTGTAATCTGGAGAGAGCTATAGTTGGTGAGAAGAAAGAAAAATATAGCTTATTTTGCTGCAGATGCATTTTGACAGAACATTAAATGTGAATTTTTCTTTTGCAGCCATTGCTCTGAGCCTAGGAGCTTGTTTAGAGGCTGCACAGACACTGGAAAAAATGAGCAGAATTTTTGTTATCCTTTCCAAAGTTACCCTCAGAAAAAAACACAGCATCTATCGTTCTTTAATGCTGATTTATCTTATGCATAACTTAGTACAGAAGCACATATTTTGCGGGTATTAGTATTGACATAAATCTGAGGTGATTCATGCCAGCTGAAAAACCTGGTGCTACTGTGTCCTCTGAAGGTTCCTGCAGCGCCTGGCTGACTGCTGTCAGGTATTAACAGATGCCTGGCATGTAGTCGAGATTGCTTTTACTCTCAACACTTTTCTGAGACAACTCCACAGTTTGTTTCTTCCCTTTTCCTGGTTTTATGAGAGGACTCAAATTTTCTAAATGTCTTAATTTGTAGATAGCAAGCTATGTGAACAAATTTGCCTCAGACATCTCTATCTTACAACGGTCACTAGCCATCCTGGAATCAATGGTGCTCAATAGCCATGACCTGTACCAGAAGGTGGCACAGGAGATCACAATTGGGCAGCTAATCCCACATCTCCAGGGGTGAGTATATTCAAATGCCACTTGATATGCTGTTCTTTTTTAATTTTTGTTCTTCCAAATGAGCACAGCATTTAGAAAAGGAGTGATATGAAGACTCCTGCATAAGTTCCACATCTGTGGCTGAATGGCAAATAGCCAGCTTTCTGGAGTAGCTTGATCATAGACTTCTAGTATTATTACTTCTATTACTAATTAATTTTTTCTTGGTGCGAAGCTGCCTGTATGGTTAGAAATGGGAAGGAAAAGGAGAGCACCTAGTATTGGTTGTGGTTGAATGCTTAGCACCATCAGCATACAGATGGTATGGTTTTGCCTGTCAGCCTCTGGGAAACATGTAAGACAAAACCTGGCCAACTTCTGTTGAAGGTACATTTAGAAAGAGAGAGGTCTTTTCTTTAACAATAATGCACTGCTATTCACTGGATGGAAACCACTTCCTTTAGCAGAGGGTAATGCGTTTTAAACTGGAATGCATACCTCCTGGCTGGGGCGTTTTTTCTACTCACCTGGAAAGCTTTTTAATATCAACAAGGTTTTCTTCAGAGCCATTTAGAGTTTCTTCTTCCTAACTGTAGCTGGGGCATCTGAGCATCTGGCTGGAGCTCATTGTCTGAGCTCCTGATTAATGGCACTTTGAGGTTGTTACTCATTTCACCTTTCTTGAATGCTGAGCATCATGTTTCTCTTACTAATAATAGAGAGAACCCGAATGACTAATTACTTAGCTTTTATATGAGTAACTCGAAGTGCAAACAGTCCCTGATCTTCTACTGGTAGTAATGCAACTGGAAAATGAGTTTCTGTAGCTTGTGTGTTCGTGGTCATATCTCACGTTTATGATTTTCTCCCAAACAGGACAGACCAAGAAATCCAGACGTACACCATTGCAGTAATAAATGCACTTTTCCTTAAAGCCCCGGATGACAAGAGGCAGGTCAGTTGTTGGGGTTTATATCCATGTATTGTAGGAAACACACTATGTTCATACATGCAGATGTCCCAGTCACTACTGTCACTGGTGTAATAGCATTCATTTCAGTGGAGTTACCTCCATCTTGTACCAGTATCAGGGAGGGTTAAGAATTCTTCTGCAATTCTGTAGTTCCCTGTAACCTCACATGAACCTTATTGACTGTGGCTGGCTGTAGTATTTATTGTACTGAACTCTTTGCCAGCACAGCTTGTAAACCCAGGCTATTTTTTTGGTAAGTCATCTTCCCCTCCAGATTTCTTAAAGAAATGTGTTCCTTTTGATAAAGGGACTGTCTTGGCACGTCAGCATTTCATGAATGTCAGCGCACTATTCTAAGTTAACTTTAGGGCCAGAGATCAGAAGCTTCAAAAGGAAATACTTCAGGATTGCTAGCTGATGCTAGCAATTGAATGTGATGCGTTATGAAATAGAGAAGTTTCATCAAGTGTTTATCAAGTAATTAGCTTGTGTCAAAACAGAGTTACTCATTTATTTATTTAGTATTTCCATCACCAGGAACCATGATGATAATTCTTGGTGACCAAAACGAGGTCATTGAGAGCTGCTGATAAATCCTCGTGAGGATTTGTCTTAGACTTATTTGCACTTTTCAACGCTGGAGAATGTTGAAACAAACACTAACACAAAATACAAATGGAAAATGGAAACTGTGGAATAAAATCTTCACTGGCGCAAAACCTTACTGCACAAGAGCATGTGAGAAATGTCTGCAGATTGCCAGAACTCAAACAAGTTCTGGACTAGTCCTGCCCAAGATCTGTTGGATGCAAGGAGACAGCCTCTCTGCTTCCATGCTAGGGGGACTGGCATGATGTGAGTGACTGCCTTGCAGTTAACAAAAGGATTTAAATTCACACTGGCATCTGCCTTTTCTTTACTTTTTTTTTTTTATTTTCAACACTTCCACACCCATTTCTGTAATGCAAAAAGCCAAAGAGATTCAAAGTTTTTCTTTTTTAATGAGGATTGTCTTGTTGCCTTGCTTCCTCTGCCATTGTCAACGACTCAATCATCTAGAGAAAATGTAGGTTACTTAAAAATGAGGAATGAGAACTTTGTGCATTAGAAAAGAGATGTTGTGCAGTGAAATGATACTGTGAATGTTTGAAGAGCTTTTTTTCCCCCCACTTGTCTGCATTTTCAGAGGGACACGTTGCTATGGGAAATGAGGTGGGAAATTTTGTCACATAATTTTTGTTCTCCTCTGTTACTACAGTACTTTTTTTAGAAAAGACAGCTCATCAGCTGCTAATAGCCTTGAAGGTGTCTTGGAGACAAGGCTGGTTTTATTATAGTAATAGGTTTTGTGAATTCTTGTTGTCGCAGTTTTTGGTTCAATGGGCAAAAATGATATTCTAGTGGCAGGTTTTAACTTCCATATATACAAATCAGGTAACAGCTTGATTGTCTCCAAAAAGTGAAGTGAATTTTCAAAAACACATCTCAGTATTTGCCTGTCCATCTTTTTGCTGGGTACAGCTACGCATTAACAGCCAGTCTGTGCCCTGTAACATGACTTATATCATGTGCCTGGCACTCCCCCTGCAGTTCAGTTGGGCATTTCCATAGAGAATTGATGCATCTGCATCATTCATTCTTCAGCTGTTCTGTGCAATTGAAAGCAGCTTTGCCAGGAAAAAAAAAAAAAAGTTTAAAAACTATAAGCTGAGATTCTCTTGGTTTTGGTTCCTTCTTTCTTGCACATTATTCCTGTGTGAACAAAGTTTTGATGTGATACCAGTTGGACCGAATGATAGTGCATTCCAGGAATGTCCTTAAACAAGTGTCAGCATTGACTTGCTGTGCTGTGTCATGTAGGACTGTGATACACTTGTAGGTCATTGATTAGAAGCACGAGGGTAAGGTTTGTTGTTAGCTGTTTAATTCACAGCAGCAAGCAGTACCTAAATAGCAGAGTGCAGTATGTTACCCGAATCAACCAAATCCTTAAATTGTACATTTTTCAAATAGGAATTTAAAAATACACGTGTGGTAATTTCTAAGTGTTAGATGCATTGATGTATGAAATACATATGCTAATGTGTTCACATCCCTGCATGCACATTTTTATTTAAGTGGAAAATGTTAAAAACAGGATACGTGCCTGTTAGGCATGATTCAGGAGACCAGGCTTTCATTCTTTATTAGCATAAAATAGTCTCTCCTATGCGTTTTAGGGTAGTTTGCAGCATGGCCAGCCAGGGCCAGATGTCTGAGAGAGAAAGTCAAAACATCCAGGTTGATAGGGACTTGGCCATTACTTCTAGAAAGAAAAACTAGTTGGAGACAAAACAGTGGACCAATGCCAGCACTGCTAGCAACATACAGGGGGGAAGTATTAGTTACTGTGAAAAAACAGCATTGAGCTGCAATCTAAAAATTAGACTTTGTGACTCTGAAACAGCCAAAATATTAATATAAATATGCATGTTTTTGGATGTCTGATTTTAAAGGCCTGACTGACAGATTGAAAGGTGTTCACGCTGTGTGGCTGAGGAATGGGAGTTGTGAGGGGGGAATTGTGCTTGAACAGGTGTGTGAAAAAGCACTGTTGAACCCACAGAAGTCTCCTCTGAGATCTTGTGTTGCTGTTACTGGATCACCAAAGTTTTCAGCTTGATATACCTTTCACTCTGTCCCCTTTTTCACAGCAAAGTAATCTTGACTTTGTGGCACCAAAATAACTCTTACTGTTGTAGTTGATAAGCTGCTTCATTTTGCTTACAAGAAACACTGCAGAAACTTAAGACTTGAACCTTATCAACTGGTGTGTTGCTATAGGAATAGCACTAAAATACCTGTTTCTATTTATTTTTTTTCTAAATCAGGAAATGGCAAACATTTTGGCACAAAAGCAGCTCCGCTCCATTATCCTAACTGTAAGTATATCATTTTCAACATTACTTTTCACTAGCAGAGAGAAAAGCTGGATTGTTTTTATGTGCATAGGTTTTATCCTCATATACTTTAATTGCTCTTTGGCTTTTGATACATTTGGAAGCCTTTAATGTATAACATGAAGATCTTGTTATTGAGTGGGTTCAAAACTGATGATCTGAAATGGTGTTTTTCCAGCCCAATGAATTGTTATTTCTTGCTGACAATACAATGCAGAATAAAAAAAATAATAGTATCTGGGGGATCTTCTTCCCACTGAGAGTGTGAACTTACGTGTGAAGTCTAGGCAATGTCTGAAGGATTTGTAGTAAATCCTTTGTTTTAAATTTTAGACCTGATGGAAACTATGCAAGCCACACAGGGCTTTCCATTGTGCAAAATCACACCAAAAAACCCTGTGTTTTTTGGTTCTACAGGAGACTCTGTATCTTGATATCAAATTGCACACAATTTGTTGCCACTTGTACAAAGGAAGCAGGATATACAGCCCAGAATGAAGTTAATGAATGTAAATAAAAGACTTACTTCAACTATCTTGGGAAATCATAGGGATTTTGACATCAACCTGAGCGTAGATTAGTTCTTGAAGGGAGTAAGGTAAAGTTCTTCTTAAAAAGAGAGAGTTCAGTATCTGTTGTGAATTAGTGGGCAATAAGCAAAACCAAACAGCAACAAATAAACAAACCTTTTCCCTTTCTCACTCACTGTCATTATTTTAGTGATACGTGCAAAAGAAACAGCAGCAACGAAGTCATACACAAAAAAACAGGGAATTTGTTTCATAAGCATGTTTTTGCATTGCTTGTGATCATAAGAAATTGGTAGAAGCATATGGATAATATTCTTAAGTGTTCATTTACTGTCATAAAATGCTACTTTAGTAGCTTTTGGCAGATAGTTTTGTTTTACTCTGAGGCTTCAGTGAAATCTAGTTTCAGTTGTACTAATCTCCTACATGACTTTCCTTATGTCTTCCCTGCTGTGTTTAGTAACTTGGGCCTGTTTCCCCTGTAGCTGTTTAGTTTTAGACACAACAGGGATTTTTAAATGATCCACCAGTTGGTAACTGCTTTGTGAATGGGGTAATTCTGTGTTGTGTGTATAGGCTATTGTATGCTAATGCATTTCTAAGCCATCTTCCTCACGTAGATCACAGATGTCTGGTAGAGGTGGCATTGCCATATGATGTTAGCACTGACAGCAGCAGTAGCACTCACTGTTGTATCACTATATCTGCACATTGTGTTGGCATCTTGAGTGCTTTTCTGCTCAGGGAGCAACTCTCATAAATGTTTTTGAATATGCTCCCTCTTTTTATGCAAGTCTCTAACGCTCTTGGTAGGGAGTAAATTTTTCTACAGAGTGACTCCCTACTATTTTTCTTGTTTGTTTTGTTTTGTTTTCACCACTTCTCACTGGCTCAGTGTAGTGGCTAAAAGGAGGAAGCATCGATGCATTGTTAAAGTTCCATTCCTTAACATTTCTTATGAAGCCTGTATTTCATCTGAATACCTAAACTGGCAGCATTAGTCTTGGTTTAATTTTTTTTCTGGAATATGCATAGGCCATTACCTATCAACACATACTGAAACAGAAACACCCGAGTCCAACTCATGTGATTTTCTGATACAGTGGCATTCACTGCAGTCTATCTTTCTTTTATAGCATGTTATCAGGGCACAGAGGGCCATCAATAATGAAATGGCGCATCAACTTTACGTTCTCCAAGTACTTACATTTAACCTTCTGGAAGACAGAATGATGACAAAAATGGATCCACAGGATCAAGTAAGTATCTGATATGATCTTTCAGGACAGGAAGAAGTTAACTATTCATTGCTGTGTCTAAATCTCTTTATGGAGGAAAAGACACTGCCAGAAATGCTTGCATGACCTCTTTCACGATACGATGTTCAGTTGTGTTTTCTGTATGTCAAAAGATGAACTGACTATTGTATTACATGTACAAAAGTACAGCAAAATGGTCAGGCCTTTCTCTTTAGTATGTTGTTTCATGAACTGAATTTGCTCTCATCCTGATTTAAAAGTCTGAAGTGAGACTTTCAATTTTTATCCTTGTCAGAACCAACGGAGATGCATAGTCCTTGAAAGTATTCCAGCAGGGCAAAAATGGATATTTAACATTCTACAACTAAACTCAATTGGTGTTACAAGCAAACTCATTTTGTTGCTGTGAACCTGTGCAGTAGTTGTTCACCTTATTGTTCATCGTGTCCACACACCAGCCTTAATGCTATTCATTGTGACTTCCCAAAGAGGTTTAAATGTTGGTACAGAATCAGTGAGAAACAGAGAAGATGAGTTTTGTTAATTTTTCCTTTTTAAGGCCATGTACAAAGGGGAAGCTGATTGCATTTTTAAGAGGGAATTGTGTCAAGACTTACTGATGATATGAAGAAAAGGAGATGAGAGGGAAAGATGATCATAAACATAAATAAGTGTTATTTTGCTCTTCCTGTTTCTTTAGTTTGAGACAGGAAAGTTTGACTCTTAGAAGAATGTGAATGTAGTTACGTAGTGCGTATCTCAGTAGAGGGATTGAGATAACTACCATCAATACAAATAATGCTAAGTCTAGAAGCATTTCCAGTTACATGTAACTGCAGCAAGTCCTTTCTTGCCCATTTCCTTGCCAACAGAAATGGACAGTCACCAAAAAGGTCACAGAGTGTTAAGCTGTTTCAGTGTAAGTCAGCAAAGTAAGTAAAGGCCAAGTATCAGCTTAATTTGAAATGGTGGTGATCTCTTGGCTTCTGTAGTTTCGTGGCTGTGGTTAAAATGAAATGCATAGTTAGTGACCTTGTTAACATGAGTCCAACTTCCAGAAATCAACATTTAAGCATCTCTGCATGTGAACCCTACAGAAGTGAGACCTTCAGAAAATAAGAACCACAAAGTGATTCCTGTTGACAGTCTTTGAGAAACAAGTAAAAAATTCAGATTAAGGTTGAAACAGTCTTTGTGGAACTGATTATTAAAATGAGAGTTATTTTTAACAATTGTTTTTAACATTTGTTTTGACTCAGGCTCAACGGGATATCATATTTGAACTACGAAGAATTGCATTTGATGCAGAATTGGAACCTAACAACAGTAGTGGCAGTATTGAGAAGCGCAAATCTATGTATACTCGAGACTATAAAAAACTTGGATTTATTGTGAGTATTTTAACCCTGAGTGATCACACACTGGAAATGGCTGAATGAAAATGGCTGAATGCATCTGTTGCAGTACATTCTCTAATCAGTCAAATCTCTTGCTTGATCTTCTGGCTGTTGCCAACAGGAGAATAGCATAATTTCTTTGTCTTTTTGCAAATCTTTCTAACCCCAAATGATTGCTTAGCAGACACTAGAGTTAAATGGAAGAAATAACCATCTGAGTTTGAAGCACAATTTTGTACATCGTACCATAATTTAACTTAATGGAATCTTTGAACAAGCATTGTCTAATGGATCTGTGGCAGACCTGTTATTGTGCTCTTACTAACAGAGTGTAGTGATGAGCACAGTAAATCAAAGGTAGCTCTCTTTTATGGTATTTACTTGTAGGACCTTGTATTTTGTTTGCTTGAACTCGTTTCATCTGAGGGTAGGGTTATGGTTAGTATGTGATTTTCTTTCTCCTTAGATAAAATTGTATGCTTCACATCTTGCATGATTCATTACTTTGCTGTTGGCACAACAAATGTACACTGAATATAGTATGGTAGCCACAGATACAGATGGGGTGGTTTTAAGCACTGGTACAAGCTCACTGTGCAGTTTATGTGCTTTGCTCAGTTCTGTGCCTGGGGCTCAGTATTACCCAGTTTCCTTGTGGCTTTGGGAGGAGATTTTCTGGGTTCTTGTAGTTGTTTTCATCACTTAGGAGTGAGGAAACAATTCTACTGTATTGGTGCTAATGCATCTGTAAGGAGTCTGAAGTAAGTAGAGTGAAGGGAAAGAACTTGGCATTTTAGAGTTGTCAGTATGGTTGTAAAGTCAGCGATATGAGGAAGCTTTTGAATCTCAGTGTGGGTTTTTTTGTTGTCCTTGTCAGTCAGTCTGTTCTCACCTCCTGTGTTACAGAAGATCATTGCTATCTCAGCTTCTAAACAATTCGTGTGTGAGATGAGCAGAGGACTTTGGGCCTTCGAAGCCTGAAGAAAAATGCAGGCCCTGATTTATAGATGTATGAGCTGGATGTAGACTTTCTGCTTGTGATGAATAAGAACAACAGTGGGGCCGCACAGACCTTATGTTATAGGTGATGGAAAAATAACTGGCAAAGAAGGAAATGGTGACAAACCTAGATTAGGGATGGGACAAGGAGGAATGACGAGGTGTAGTAACTTCATGGTGGAGCTGTTCAAACAGAGATTATGGCATTGTCTCGCTCCAATTTATAGGTTCCTGTTTTATCCTCCTTGTTCTCCTGCCTATGTGACAAGGACGGGCCTCGAGCAAGAGTCATTGAGTACCCCTGAGATGGCCATCATCCTCAGATAAGGCCACACAAAGGAGCACTTCACAGCTATTTAGCTGCAGCTCATCTCTCTCTCTCTCGCCCCTGGCCTTGTCCATCTTGTCCCCCGCACAAAGGATTTCACAGCCCTTGCCCAGGATTTGTTCATCTGTGTCCCCAGCAAGCTTTGAGACAATGATGTAAAAGAATCGTCTCTTACAGGCATATAGAAAAATAGAAATGTTTCAAATTTAAAACAAGCGTTCTCTAATTGTGGCTGACCCCTTTTGGATATCTGCTGTGCACTCAAATTTTATCAGAGGACAAAGATGCACAGCTCCCACTGTCACTGGAATCTCTTTAGCATCTTGCACTTCTGAAAGCCTTATCTTCTTGCCTTGTTGAAGTTGGAGCTGAAAAACTACGTAATAAAGCATCTGATAAAAGCTGCACCAAGACTAGCACGCAGATTTTCTGAATTGTATTCCTGTTTCCCTGCTCTTTAAAAAGACTAAATATCAACAGGATTGCAGGCTAGCACTTGTTCTTCCAGTGCTTTTGTTTGTCCCACAAGATATCTGTCGATTCTGCAGAGCTGAAGTCATCATTAACAACAGTGCATTAGAACTGATAGCATTTTGAAGGAGACACTTGCTGTGAACCAAAATGTCTTACTGCCTTGTCTGAGTTTGCAGGAACTCTTGCTGTGTCTGTGCAGCAGGGATATCTTCATTATTCTCGTTTGGGCTGTTCTTTAGGAAACCTACAGAGATCAGCTGTATTCAAGGGTTACAGCAGCAATGTTTGCTATGTAACTCTGATAGCCATGCAACGGGGAATGGGGATCAAACTCTATGAGAGAATGGGAGCTGAAATCCAAGCAGTTAAGAAAACGTGGAAGGATAAAAAAAAGGGAAAGCATAACCTGAGAAAATAAATATGAGAAAGTGAGCTTTTCAGAGCACCATGACAAGGGTCTCAAGGCGGTGAGGCACTAACAGAATGATGAAGTAATGCACAAATAAAGAACCTTAATTGTAAATTGTGGGGGTAGTTACTCTGCTCTCGTACAGAATTTTTGGTTTGAGCAGAGAGTACAGGGACACTAAATATATAACATTTCCTGTAGCTGAAAAGGAATTGAACTTTCACAGACTGGGGAAGAAGGGCCTGTTGTGGAGCTTAGGCTATGAATCTGACAGCATCACACAGCTTGTCTGACTAGTCTTTAGCTAGCCTGGCTTCCTTCCCTTTCTCCTTTTAACTCCATTGCTAAAGTGCCTTTTGAAAAATGTAGGTAGGATACATTAGCAAACGGAGCTGTTCTGTGAATACCAGGAATTTTCTCTCCTCCTTGTTTTAGCCATTTAACCTAAGAAGAAAACCAATGAATTGATTGGCTGCCTTTGAATGCTGTCTTCGTTTGTTCCACTGGTAGTGGTGGTCAGAATAATTTCTTGAATTGATTAAACATTCTTCCTGAGGGAGAGAGCAAAACCATGGTCTAGCCATCCAGCTGTTCTTGGACTGCTTGTTCTCTTTCTGCATGGGAAATGCAGGAATTCTATTTATTTTTCTCAGCCACATCAAAAAGTTTTGCCACATTGCAAATGTATTGTCAAGAAAAGAGAAAGTCCAGATTTAGTTTCAAAAGTTCTCAATACCGTTCGTAAAACTACATTGTTAGAAACCTATATTCATTTAAAGAAACCACAAGGCCATTCCAGATGGTTGTGATGACCTGTGTGAAGTTTATTATGGGCAGAGATTTTCAAATGAGACGTTCTTGAGGAGATCTACTAAAACACCAACAAATACAACAGAAGATGACTCGATTAGGAGATGGAAGCTTCTCTCACCCTATGAAACTATTTTTCTGAGACAAGAGCAAATTCAATAGCCTGAATAGCATTTAATTTTGTTTTGGTTTTCTTTCCAGTCTTAAAATCTCTTTTGTCGGGGGAATCCCAATCAGTATTTACGTATGGCAGTTCTTGTATTAAAAGTAGAGATTTGTAGACTTACAGTAATAGCGTAATCTTATGCTAGAGATATCTGAAAGATGTCTCAGAACGAAGTTGTAGTGAATGCTTTTAAATTTAGAGGCAGGTCTGACCAAATTCAAAGCAGTGTAAGAAAAAAAACTGTTCAAGTATTTTTTTTTTTCCAAGTTTGCATTGTGTAGAGCTTTTCTGTTTTTGTTTGTTTGTTCAGACTCTTGTAACATATGCGTTGTTTGCATGCGTGCAGAAAGTCAAGATGGCAACTGATTTCTTAATTGTGCCGTGTGCTGTGCTGGAATTTATCGGTGTAGAAAAATATAATGAGTACATTATTACAGGAGATAGGAAACCAGTCTGACAAAGAGATGATAATTAAAAGGGAAGTTTAGAATGGTCTGAAGTTCTTGTAAAGACGGGCACAAGCTTAACGTACAAAAAATTAATGATGGTGACATAAGAGTGAACATATGCTGACGAATTCACCTGATGAAGCAAATGAGGGAGACATCAACAAAAGAATCGCCTGTGATGCACAAATGAAGTGACCTTTTGAATCAGAGCATTAGAAATTTTAGAAGCTTTTTATTCAGTGGTACAAAGTGCAAAGGTGTTAATTTAGGACTAGGGCCAATAATTCCTTTGGCGAGCAGGTATCTATTGGAAAAGGCAAAGATGAGAGATTGTGCACAATAGCTACTAAAAAAAAAAGTTAAATGTTAGTCTAGAATTTATCTGGAAGTGTAATTTAAAAGCAGATGAACTCTTAAGGCCATTTAATATGTTCTAGAGAATTCATGCAAAAGACAATATTATTTTAATTGTCCATGTAGTGGCTTGTGTGCAGATTGAATTTAGGATGAGTGCAGAGGGCAGTTGAGACTTGTGACATGATTAGAGACATGTCTTACAAGAAGTGACTTTAAAAGACTGGCTTGTTAAGCCTACCAGGCTGATGGCTTTGCAACTATTATCACATTAATAATTACTGAGAGAAAAGAAGTCATAGGTAAACTAAAAGCAGACTGGCAAGCAATCCACGAGTTTGCTTTTTTTGATTGGATTGATAGGGACAAATTTCATTACTATTCTAAAGATGGAGGTTGGTCCTTTATGAAAAAAATTATATGTTATGATTGATAGTGGTGGATTCAAGAAACAGAAGATATTCTCAGCTAAAAAAATACTGATTTTCAACATAGTCACTACCATTAGCTATGCTTTTTTGCTAGTGATGAACAAGAGCCTGCATGCTGTGCTCATAAACATCTGAGGCCAGCAGGGACAGGGAGGTGATCGACCCTCTCTGCTCTGCCCTCGTGAGGCCCTATCTGCAATGCTGGTCCAGATCTGGGGCCCCCATACAAGAAAGGCAGGGAACTGTTGGAGAGGGTCCAGAGGAGGCCACAAAGATGATCAGAGGGCTGGAGCACCTCCACTGAGAAGACAGACTGAGGGAGCTGGGCTGGAGAAGGCTGTGGGGTGATCTCATTGCAGCCTTCTAGAACCTAAAGGGAGCCTACAAACAGGAGGGAAGTCAACTGAAAGAGTCGTTAATAGCAGGACAAGAGGAAATGGTTTTAAGTTGAGGGAGGGAAAATTTAGGTTGGATGTCAGGGGGAAGTTCTTTACTGTGAGAGTGGTGAGGTGCTGGAACAGCTGCCCCGAGAAGCTGTGGATGCCCCATCCCTGGAGGTGTTCAAGGCCAGGTT